AGTTCATACCCCCTTCCATTCGCCCCCTACCCCTTACCCCATTGCTGTGTTTAGTATATTCAGGCCAAGAAAAAGGAGTGTGTCAATCCGGACAGTGAAGTGGAAATATCGACCAGGAAACTGGGGTTTTAGTCCTGACTTTGTCATTAAATCACTATGTGGCCTTGGACATGTCACTACCCCTCTCTGGGTTTCCCCATTTGCAAAATAGTGGGGTTGAACTAAGAAACCCTTTCAACTCTAATGTTTTATATTATAATGACCTATTCAGTTCTGGGATTCTTTATTCTGAAAATGTAGCTCTCAGAGTCTATGATCTAAGGTCTAGGTCTGATAATCTATGAGTCTGTGGAGGGTTCTGGTATATTAGGGTGCTTTGAGGGACTCATGACCCCTAGCCCTATCCTCACTACCCACTCTAAAACATTTCACTCATCTGCTTGCCATAGTGCCTGAAACTGTGCCATTAGAGTTTGCTTCTGTCTTTCATTCATTCAGCAAACATCAACTGAGTCTTTTAGTCCCTCTCCCCCAACCCCTTGTGTGCCCATCCATGTATTCTGTTTACTGGGGATTAGGAAGAAGGGCAGAACCTGGCTCTTTTCTTGGGGAGTTCACAGTGGGTAGAGGAGGCAGAGAAAGATAAGATCTGCCCTCAGGTAACTTTACAATTTAGAAGAAAGGGTAGGACCTGTATATGAAAACTTCAAACCAAGGCCGAATGTGAGTAGGGCCATGATAAAATGATAACTTAGGTTTTTATAGTGCTTTAAAGTTTACAAAGCATTTTCCTCACCACCCACTTGTGAAATAGGTTGTACTAATATTATTATTCCCATTTTGTTGTTGTTTGACTTTCATTCTAAGATTTTATAGATAAGGACACTGCCATCCAGAAGTGCAGGGGCTTCCCCCAAAGCTGTAAGTGGTGCTTTCTCTCTCATAAGAATGCTGCACCCATTTAACTCTAAGTTTTTAGAGGAGGGTGACATTCCTTCTGGTTGGAGGCATCAGAAAAGACAAGAACGGAAGAGTTGTCATTTGAGGTAGGGATGGAAAATTAGCAGAAAACCCTAAAACTAAGGAACCATTGTTTATTGGGAGGATCCTGTAAATCAGTGGGTAAATAGGTCTCCATTTAAAACAATTCAATTCATATTCCACCTTTCAAAAATGTACAGATTCAACAAACATGTATTCTGTGCCTACTGTGTACAATAAACAAGGCATCTATTAAGGACTTACTGTGTATCAAGTGCTGTGCTATGCACCAGGGACATACAGGAGAAAAGGCAACACTCTTTACTCTCAAGAAATTTACCTTCTATTGGGAAAACAACATGTGCACATTTAAGTAAATACAAAATAACAGCTGGGGTTATAGGAAAAGTCTCATGTAGGAGGTGCCACATAATCTGAACTTCAAAAGAAGCTAAGGATTGTAAGAAGTTGAGGTGGGGCTGCATTCCAGGGATGGAATAATAATAATAGCAGTAACTAGCATTTATATAGTTCTTGGGCAGCTAGGTGGCCCAGTGGATACAGAGCTGGGCCTGAGGTCAAGAAGACTCCCTTCCTAAGTTCAAATCTGGCTTTAGACACTTGCTAGCTATGTGACGCCAGGCAAATCACTTCCCCCTTTTTGCCTCAGTTTCCTCATCTGTAAAATAAACTGGAGAAAGAAATGGTAAACCATTTTAGTATCTTTGTCAAGAAAACCTCAAATGAGGTCATGAAGAGTTGGACTCGACCAAAATTACTGAACATCATATAGTGCTTACTATATGCCAGACACTGCGGTAAGTGATTTACATTTATCATCTTATTTGATCCTCACAACAACCCTGGGAGGTAGATGCTATTATATCCATTTTATGGATGGGGAACTGAAGCAAATAGACGTGAAGTGACTTGCCCAGGGTCACACAGTTAATAGGTGTCTGATTCAAACTCAGGTCTTCCTGACCCTAGGCCTAGCCCTCTATCCACCGCAATGCTATAATTTGGTCAAAAGAGAAGGGAAATAGAATGTTGTGCTCCAGGGACAGCAAGTAAGCCTGTTTGGCTGTTTCAGTCTTCTGTGTATCCACTCTCTCCACTAAGAACCTTGTTTTTTTATTTCATTGAACAAATGAAGCCATCGCTCAAGAGCTACTTCTCCAGGAATCTTCCCCCCACTGTCTCTTCCTTTACCTTTATGAGAGGTGGCCCCTTCTCCCTTTCCATCCCATTCTTTTTTCTCTATCAGATTTTCCCCTCTATTATCCACACTCTCTATTTCATCTTCAATCTTTGTCTACTGTCAGCTTTCCTAATGCCAACAAATACACCCTTTTTTCTCCCAACCTCTCATTTCATCCCTTCCTCCCCATTACTAATCAGCCTCTCTCTCTTCCCTTTACTGGCTAACATCCTTGAGAAGGTCCTCTACAATTGATGCCTCTATTTCCTTTCCTCTCACTTTCTTCTACTTTTTTTTAAGAAGTCATGATTATTTAAATAGTTGCCAAAACAAAACAAAAAACCAAAATCAAACAAGTTTACGGACCTCAGGTTAAGAAAACCTGCTTGAGAGACATTTTATTCTCATCACATCACTCTCCTAGAGAGCAGGAGACCTCTGTGAGGATAAGAGCCAGGCATTATCTAAACTTTCTTTTTCTTCTCCCATTTCTAGCATAGTGCTCTATAAATATCTCCTTAAATTATTTATTAAAATTCATTTGAAAAAACTGAGTTCCAAATTCTCTCCCTCCCTCCTCGCCCCCCATTAAGAAGGCAAGAAATGTGATGTCAATTACACATGTCTCACTTCTTTACTGTGCAGAAGGGCTTCTAACCTCATCATTCAACCAAAATGCCTTTCTCTAAAGTTACCAATGATCTCTTAATTGACAAATGTAACAATCTTCATCCTCCCTGACTTCTCTGAAGCCTTTGATACTGTCTTTCACCCTCTTCTCCTGCATATCCTCTCTCTAGGTTTTCATGACAAGGCTCTTTCCTGGTTCTCCTCCCACCTGTCTGACTGGTCCTTGTCAGATTTTTCAGTTGCTAGTTGGTAGCACTCAGTTGGAAATTATCATGAATTGCTTTGTCTTTCGTGGATAAGTTTCTTCTCCACCCTTAGACTGAGAGTTCTCTTGAGGGCAGGGTCTGCCTGTGATTACTCCTTTTTTTGTCTCCCCTATATATTTGAATTGAACACATGACCAGCATCCAGGGGCTTAGGTCACATTCTTCACTCCTTTTCTCTCCAATGAAAGGGCAGAAGACAGAAAGGATTGGTCCAGGGCCCACTGCCTCGTTCTTGAGTCTCCTCTCCCCTTTGCCTAAACCTTGGCTTCAGTGACAGGCTTCAACATAGTCTCATAACTTACAGGATCATCAGCTTCAGAGGCCCAGACAATGGTCTTGGCTCTGTTAGGCAGCCCAATAAGTTCCCTCCCAGTCTTTTTTTCTGGAGGGTCTTGTTTATAATAGAGGTTCTTACTTTTGGCTAAGCTAGGCCATCCTTCCTCTTTGGCAGAGGTCCAGCAAGGACTTCCTTAGAATGGGTCATTGAGACCTGTATGTTTGTCAATTTATCTTCACCCTCATCTATCTGGAAGTGCCATGAATCAGAAGTAGGGAATTCTGCTTTTTCCAACTTTTTGCCAAAATATTCTTGTCTTGGTGTGGGTAGGGGAACTGCATAATTATTCTTTCTCCTCTGGAAAAAAATGTTTTTAAAATTCTATCTTTGTTACTTATTACCTGTGTGACCCTGGGCAAGTCACTTAACCAGTGGGCCTCAGTTTCTTCATCTGTAAAATGGGGCTAATAATAGCAACTATCTCCCTGGGCTGTGTGAGGATCAAATGAGATAATTATAAAGTGTTCAGTCGGTGCCTGGCACACAGTAAGTGCTATATAAGTATTAGCCATTTTATTATTTGTAAAAAGAGAGGGCTATGCTAGAGGGCTAGTAGCTCCTTTTCAGTTCTAAATCTAAATCTAAAATCTAAATCTAAAACAAACTTAGAGCTAGAAGTTGAGGAAGATGGAAAAGCAGAATAGAAGATAGTAGAGTAGGCAAGGGGTGGGAATGGGCTTTACTCCGTGTAATCTTTCAGACTCAGTTTCCTCATTTGTAAAATGAGGGGGTTGGGCTAGATAATGGCCAAGGTTAGTCTACTTTGCTAATACCCCATAAAAGGAGGAGGAGGAGGGAGAAAGAACAAGAAGAAGAGGAGAGGGAAGAGGAAGGGAGAAAAGAGGGAAGAGGAAGGAAGAAGAGGATGAAAAAGAGAAGGGAGTCGAGGAGGAGGAGAAAGGGAAGGGGGAGGAGGGAAAAGAGGAAGAAGGAGGCGGGGAGGAGCCGGGCGGATGTTGGCTGCATAGTTGGGGGAGGGCGGGGAAATGGGAGGGCGGGCGAACTAGCCGGGGTGGTGTGTGTGTTTGTGTGTGTGTGTGGTGTGTGTGTGTTTGTTAGTGTGTCTGTGTGTGTGTGTGTTTTTGTGTGTGTGTGCGCGCGTGTGAGTGTGTAGCGCAGTGTGAGTGTGTAGGGCAGTGTGAGTCCGGGTCGCCTGGGAGGAGGAGGAGCCGGACGCGCTGGAGGGATCCGGAGGCCCCGCGCCCGGAGTTGCGCCCCCCCCTCGCCCGCCGGGGCCGCGGTAACCCCTGCCCAGAGTGCTGCAGGCGGCCGGGGGGTGGCTCTCCGGGCTGCCCCTCCCTCCTGCCCTCCCCGGCCGGACCCTGCGCCCCCAGCGCGGCCCAGCCCCCGCCCGGCCCCGGATCCGGCGGGAGGAGGAGGAGGAGGAGGGAGGAGGGCAGGCTAGCCGGACTCCGCAGCTGTAACAGCGGCTGCCACAGCTGGATTCCCAGTCCGGCCAATCCCGGCTACGGCAGCGGCGGCGGCAGCGTCCGGGGCCCGGGAGGGAGGGAGGAGGGAGGGGAGGCGCGGCGCCCCCCGCCCCCAGCCCCCCGCCCCGGAGCGGACTGGCATGCAGAGCGGGAGGTGGCCCCGGCCCGGCTAGGCCCGCGCCCCGCCAACGGCATAGACCCCCCCCCTCCACCCGGGGCCTGGCCAGGCCCGGCTCTCCGCAGGTAAGCCCGCATCCCGACCCAGCCGGCGGCTCCCGGGGTCGGGAAACCTTTCCTCCTGCGCCCCAGAGCCAGGAGAGCGGGGGCGCACGGCGCGGGGGCGGGGGTCCGGCCTGGTGCGCCCGGGCGCTGGACCTGCGGCACTGCGCGGCGAGGGCGCGGGCGCTTTGTTCCACGGGGTTGCGCCCCGGGACGTGGCTTTTTGTGTTTCCTTTTGTGCAACAACAAAAAAAAAAAAAAAAAAAAAAAAGGAAGCGGGGCCGGGCTGGCTGCCCTCCCGCCTCTGCCCGCCTCTGCTCCCCGACCTTCTCTCCTCTCCCCGCTGCCGCCGTATCCTTCGATTAGCGAACAGGAAGCTGTTGGCCGCCCCAAGCCAGCCGGGCCCCAGAGCCCAGACCTGCGAGCGCAAGGCGCCCGCCGCCCTCGGCCCGGCTGGTGGGGGGCGTGGCGGGGCGCGCCGGGGCTGGGGGCCGGGAGCGAGCTGGAGCCGGCCGGCGTGCCACCCACAGGAGGAAGGGACCCGGGCGCACACACATTGGGACGCCCACCTGGAGAGCCTTGGGGCTCCTGGGGAGCTGGGCCAGACTGCATTAGGAAGGACCCTAGGGTAGCCTCTGCCTGGACTTTAGGGAGATTTACTCCACGACATCCCTAGGCCGGGCTGGTCAGTGGCTTGTTTCTGTGCCGAATGATTTCAGGCATCAGATTTTGCTGGACAGCCTTGGGTGCTGGTTCCATCTCCTGTGTCTCTTCTGTGTGACCTTGGGCAAATCGATGCACTTATCTAAATCTGTAAAATTCAATTCTGCAGATGTTAAGTACTTGTTGTGGGCAGGACCCTGAAGTTGGCACTCTGAATATAAAGATAGAAGTCTGGCACGCCTTCTCTCAGGAAGCTTACAGTCCAACAGAGAGAAGGATTTGCCTGCAAATAATCGATCCAAGACAGAATGTGACAGGGCTTTTCAGTCTCAAAGGCAGAAATTGGAAGAGGCAGAGATGACTTTTAGCTGAGGGGTGGAGACAGGCTTCATGGAGGAGACAGACTGTAAGTAGCTGGAATGTTAACTGCAGAGGTCAGATTCCAGGGTGGGTAGATTGGGGCTGGACTGTGGAGGCCCTTGACTGGCAGGATTTTTATTTACTAGGCAGTGGGGAGATGCTGAGGATTCACTGCCTTACCTCCTGTTGTGAGGATTTAATGAGAGAATAGAAGGGAAAGTGCTTTGGAAGCTATAAAACATACCTGTGAGGACTGATTATTTTTGTTGTTAATGTATTCACTTGCAATATGACCTTGGCTGAGTAACTGCCTTTCTCCACCTCAGTTTCCTCATCTATCAGCTGGGGGTAAATGGTATCTATTATTATTATTGGGGGGGGGGGTGAGAGATAGGCTGGAAAGAGTCCTTGTCCAGGAGTTAAGAAACTTTAGTTTTCTTCCCAGCTGTCACCTTGTGCAAGTCACGTTGCTCTGTGCCAGTTTCCCTAGCTCTAAAAGGAGAATTAACCTTTAGGTTATGAGAGCCATCGATTGAGGCGTTTTGGATGAAGGACTGACAAGACCTGGATTCAAATCCTGCCTCTTGACACATGCTCATTGTGTGATCATAAAGCTTAACTTCTTACTGCCTCAGGCAACTGTCTTAAACTATAAGTTACCAAGTAGTTGCCAGGTTGCCCGTTGATGAGAGGGTTGGTTGTGTGTGGGTGTGTGTATTTGGGAAAGACATGAATAACTTGGTGGTTTTTAAGGCACCTATCCTTTCTGAACTCTTTCTTTTGCCGTGCCAGCAGGTCTCAGACTGTAAGCTCCATGAGGGACTCATTTAAGTTCGTATCTCATCACAGACCAAGGGGTTCTTTTCATGAAACAGTTTTTTTGTTTTTTGGGATTTCTTTTGTGAGGCATTTGGGGTTAAGTGACTCGCCCAGAGTCACACAGGTAGGGAGTGTTATGTATCTGAGGGCACATTTGAACTCAGGTCCTCCTGACTTCAGGGCCAGTGCTCTATCCACTGTCCACCCAGCTGCCCCCATATAGCAGGTTTTTAATACTTGTTTGATTTTGAATTTTAAATTTATAAGGTCACTGATCTTTTGAGGGGAACTTTGGGGTCTGGACAGCCCCAGGGAAGAGTTTGGGGATTCTCAGGTTCTGCTGATCTCTAGGTCCCATCAACCTTGTCTTTGAAACCTGGGAAATTTCACCCCCTCACCCTCACCCTTTGGGTAGTCTTTAGTGTGTTAAGGGTCACAAAGCACTTTATTCACAACAGTGCTGTAAGCAAATATCAGCCTAATTTCACAGATAAGAAAACTGAGTCTTAGAGAGGGGAAATGGCTTGTCTGTGCCGGTGTGCTGGGCTGCCTCACCATACATTCAGTCTGTGTGTCTGGTCCCGTGCTCAGCTCTGACCAGGGGAGAGATCAGGGGAAGAGACATGAGCTGTGCCCCGGGCATTCTGTCTGAGACTGCCATTGTAAACAATATATGATGCAAGATCATATGTAAAATGGGGCTTCAGAACAGCAAGTGCTCTTGGTCAGGAAGGGAGAGGTCAGCATAAGCTGTCATAGTCTAGAAGGGCTTCCTGGAGAAGGCAGGCCTTAATAACAGGAATCGCTAGCATTTGCATAGAGGGCTTTAAAATTTGCAAGGTGCCTTATAAATGTGTTATATCATATTGGTCTTACTCACAACAACCTTGGGAGGCAGGTAGAGGCTGGGCCTCTGGAGAGTTGGGCCAGTGAGTGGGGCAGTGTTTGTTTGTAGTCCCATTTGTTTCCCAAGTATTTTCCTACCTGTTACTTCATTTGATCTTTACCATAAGAGGGATTTGGGGCAGGGTTTGTTACCACCTCCTTTTTGCAGATGAGAAAACAAGTCCAGAGTATTTGTGACTTGCCCAAGGTCACATGGTGAGCTATATTCTGCCTGAAAGAGGCCTACAGCTATTTGGAGAGAATGTCCCTTGATTCTAGGGTGGCCCAGGGTTAAGAGAATAACTTTTTAGTGTGTTTGGCTTTTGTGCCACCTCTGACACCCAAGGAAAAATCAATGTTGGGTGGGACTTGAGTGTTTCTGGGGGTCTCTTTTTTTCTCCTCACCCCTTCCTTCAGGGGGCCAATGAGGGAGGCAAATAAATGACAGGGTTTTTGTATGTTTTTTTTCTCAATCTTCCCTGCCCTGACCTCCCCTACAGCTTTTGAACGCTGATCACCCTTTCTTTCTGGATTCAGTCTTAATTAGTTTTTTCATTGTCTTCTTTTGGCCCCCTTAATGTGGATATCCTTGAAGGTGCTGTCCATAAACTCTTTTCTTCCTTGTCAGGCTCCTCTAATTTGGTTCAATAAACAACCCGCTGTTCCTCAAATACAACACTCTATCTCTTTTCTCTATGTCTTGGCACTGGCTGGATCCTCCCCCATGCCTGGAATTCTCCCCCTCCTCATTTCTGCCACATAAAATCCCACTGGCTTCCTTCAAGACTCAGTTCTAACACGACCTGCAGGAGGCCTTTCTCAATCCCCTCTCCCTAGCTGCTGGACCCTTCCCACTAAAGTTACCTATTTATTTACATGTTGCCTCTTTATAAGAATGTGAGTTCCTTTGGGGTCAGTGACTATTTTTACCTCTCCTTGTATCTACAGTGCTTAGCATAGGGCCTGCCATATAGTGAGGGCTTAATGATTACTTATCTTCTTTTTAATATTCAGAGTTTTTATTTTATATCTTTTGTTTTTTTTATCACCTTCATTTCCAAATATATCCCTCTCTCCTATCCCTTGGGAGCCAGCCCTTCTAACAATACTAACTTATCAACTGAGTCTGACACTTACATGAAGTGTACCACACCCAAAGTCTGCCACCATTGCACAAATCAATAAATACTTATTAAATGCCTACTCAGGGCAGAGGACTGTGCAGAGTACTAAAGAAGATACAAAATTTGGAAAAGACAGTCTTTATTCTCATGGAGGTGACAATCTAAGGGTCATTAGGCACAAATGGAGGTAATTATATACATGGTAATATGTATGAGAAATGAAAGATGAAGGAAGTTTCCTGCCATCTGAAGTCCAAGATGCGCAGTCATTTTCTACCACCCTGTAAGCCATATCTCCTAAAGGGCATCTTCACCTTGGACACCCCACTGGCACTTCAAACTCAATGGGTCCCCAAATGCACTCATCTTCCCTCCCTTACTTATCCCTCCTTCCAGTTTCCTTGTTCTTTGGTGACACTACCATCTGCCCAGGCACCTGGACTTGAAACCTCAGTCATCCTTTGATTCTTCCTTCTACATCATCTCCACATCCAGTTACTCACCAAGCCCTATATCTACCTCCACAGTCTCTCATCCATCCTATTCCCTCGAATTACCACAAGTTCAGTATCTCATCATCTCTCACCTGGACTTTATTATAATATCCTCCTCACTGGTTTCCCTGGCCTTATCTTTCCCTTCTCCAAAACATTTTGCACAAGACATCTTCCTAAAGTATAACTGACCAAAGTCATTCAATTGCTCCCTGTTGTCGGTAGGAGAAAATTACCATCTCCTCCGTTTGACAGTTAGGACGCTTGGCTCTTTAACTAGTCTCTCTCAATATGTCGTATACAACCCTGGTTTCTGTGACTTGGCTCTATGCATCAAATAAAATGTCTTACTACAACCCCTCCCCCCAAGTTCTGTCTGTCTTTCAGAATCTAACTCAGGTGCTATTTCTTTTCATTTTCCTTGATTTCTAGTCTAGAGGAATTTTTTCCATTTTCTAGAACTTATGATCTGTACCACTCTGTAAAGTGTAGAGTATCAGAGTATTTTAGAGTAGCCTAGTATTTTATATTATTATCTTTGTAATATAATTTCAAAACCTTAGAGATGGAAAGGACTGTCTATTCCAAATCCCACATTTTAGAGGGGGAAACATGCCCAGGGAAAGAGAAGACACTTGACCAAAACCACAGAGCAAGTCAGAAATCGAAATCAAGTATC